GGTGGCCACTTCCCAGGGATGATTGGCTTAGAATTTAGAATATAGGTTTTACTGCTCCTTTATCTGCCTAAATCATATGGAATTTGTAGTCTTCATTTAGCATCTCCACAAGATTCTAATCTTCTCATCAAAATACCCAAATGTATTTTCTACTAGTTCAGTACCCTGCTATGTCCAAAATTTTCAATCTATCCCAGAAGCACAGGCTAACTCCTTGGTGATGGGTTTGCCTACTTACAATTTAAGGACTACTGCAGTGTGTTCTTTTCAGAAATTATTTTGGTCATTAAGTCATTTCCCAGTGGAAGTGGTTCTTTCCTTCTAGGTCCTCTTGATTCATCACGAGGTATTTGCTAGCTATCTCTTTACACATAGCAAGATCTGTGCCTGTGATAGAGTATGACTTTTTAGAATATTCACTAGGCTGGATTTCAAGACTCAACTTTGTCACTTCCTAGAGTTCTGGGAGGCAGTATCTATAAGGGAAGAAATCAGGCAGCCAGCATTTGAATCCTAGCTATTCACAAACTGGATGACTTCTAGATGGTCTTATACCCTTTCTGAGTCTCATTTTTCCCATTTGTAAAATAATAATGAAAATGCCTACCTGGTAGGGTTTTCTGTGAGTAGTAAATATGTACATGCCTAGTACAATGCTTATTATATTATAATGGGCATTCAACAAGGGTGACATCCACACCAGCCCTTAAGGCACGAATGACCCCAATAGGGTTGAAATACTCACATTCCCATGGATCCAGCACAAAACTGAAGTGAATGAGAATAAGTTCAACAACACTGCAAGTGTGAAGGTACAAGGCAACTAAGAGTTGACCTCAACATTGGGAAGAAAACAGGGAGTACTTATAGCAAACTGGGGAGGGTATGTTTCATCTAACACACCCACCACACCAGCCCACCGATGCCCTAAATGAGGACAAACACATTTAGGCAGATCTTCTGGTATTTCAAAAGAAGCCAGAAATCTAGATTTATTAGGTAAAGTCTCTCAATTTTTAAATATTGGCTCACTGAAAAACAAACACACCAACCAACAAACTTGGACCCCAAACAAAATATTCCTATAGGCTTAATTCAGCCTACTGATGAGAGGATCTGTTCAATCACATTCACTTGACATCACTTAAATCTCGAGCTTATATTGCTCCTTAGCTCTTCCATATTATTGTGTAATTTTCAGCGCTCAAGCTCTGTCTCCAATTACATCAGTTAAGCAACTTGAATAAGATATTTGAGAGCAGGAAATAAACAGTTGGTAAACTCTCCTTTGGGTGATACCCTTTAAGATCTGAAAATGGGTTGCTTCCCTCCAGAAGAAAATGTTGGCTTCTTTTTACCATGAAATGGAAATACAACAGCTGGCTGCCTCTGGGAGGTTGAAAATAAACAGGTTCAGAAGCTCCGAGAACAGCAAATGGGCGTTGTAGGTGGAGAAACAGTCCAAAATAAATACAGCTGTTGATGCGGAAAATTCTATTTACTTTGACTGTTTCGAGGTCTTCACTGAGGAAGGGAGAGTTGCTATTCCTGAGTCTCTCCATATACTGACAATGGGGGACCCACTCGGGATTGGTCCACAGTGAAGGACACATTCATACTCAACATTCATGATGAGCAGATCAACTGGGTTTCTCAAATGAGGGAGGACGTTTGTTACAAGTGAACATGATGAGTGAAGGGCTCTGTACTGGATGGCCTGTATTAATGTCTTCCCTGGTTTGGATTGCAACTCACATTGAACATTCCTTAACAATCAGGTTTTGTTTGCCACATAGATGTAATAGGAAAGACACTAGCTCGGTTGGTAAAAAAAATCCAGGCTATAGCATTAGTTTGCTAACCAGCTGTATGACCTTGATGAATCATTGCAATATTCTGTGCTTCTATTTGCTCAAACATAAAGTGAGAGATTGAAAGAGAAGATCCCTAGGGAGTCCATGAGAAGAGTGGAAAGGGTATAGGATGAAGACCAGAAGGTTTTCATTTATACTCTGACTCTGATAACTCTTTCCAGTGTGACCTTGGATGGCAAAAAACACAATCTGTAAATCTCTGTCTTTACCTATGCCAGGCACGACTAAGAACAGTCCTCTTTCCTATATTCCAACTGTTAATGAGAAAATAAAATTTATGTGAAAGTGCTTTTCAAATGGATGTGTGAGTGGTTCATGCCTGTAATCCCAGCACCTTGCAAGGCTGAGGTGGGCAGATCTCCTGAGGTCAGGAGTTCAAGACCAGCCTGGCCAACACAATAAAACCCTGTCTCTACCAAAAAAAAAAAAAAAAAAAATTAGTTGGGTGTGGTGAGTCGCATGCACCTGTAATCCCAGCTACTTGGAAGGCTGAGATGGGAGAATTGCTTGAAGCTGGGAGGCAGAAGTTGCAGTGAGCCTTCAGTGAGCCAAGATTGTGCCACTGAATTCCAGCCTGGGTGAGAGAGTGAGACCCTGTCTCAAAATAAATAAATAAATAAAAATTTTTTAAAAATCAACTGGATATGTGAGCATAGATATCAGTATCAGACAGACTTAGTTTTTTTTTTTTTTTTTGAGACGGAGTTTCGCTCTTGTACCCAGGCTGGAGTGCAATGGCGCGATCTTGGCTCACTGCAACCTCCACCTCCTGGGTTCAGGCAATTCTCCTGCCTCAGCCTCCTGAGTAGCTGGGATTACAGGCACGCACCATCATGCCCAGCTAATTTTTGTATTTTTAGTAGAGACGGGGTTTCACCATGTTGACCAGGATGGTCTCGATCTCTTGACCTCGTGTTCCACCCAATCGGCCTCCCAAAGTGCTGGGATTACAGGCTTGAGCCACCGCACCCAGCCCAGACTTAGTTTTGAATTCCGACTGAACCATTTCCATGTGCTTATGGATAGGTGACTTAAGATCTCTAAGCATCATTTTCCTGATAGTTACAAAATGAAAGTAATATCTACTTCATAGGATTGCTGAGATGACCAAAGTAAAAAAAAAGTACTAGAACAGTGACTGGAACAGAGTGCTATAAATAGTAATTATTAATGCTAGTAAAAGACAAATGATATTGATATAAAATCTCCATCTCAAAAGCCTGATTCTAATCAGCTAAATCTTAAATTAAGTCTTTTTTTTTTACAATCTGATTGGAACCAAAATTATTTTTCTCCCTTTACAAGAAAAATCATCACAAAACAAAAAGTTACCCAGTTTAAGTTGAGAATGAACTTAGTTGTTTTCTGAAGTCCACAAGAGAACAGAGCCAAAACATTCAAACATTCTGACCCATGCTTAGTGTGCCTGCTACACTGAAGTAAAATGTAATGGGAAAGTTACCTTCAGCCAGGAAATATCACCTTCTTTTATTCAGAAGGGAGCCCATGAACACGCTTGGGTTTATAATGGTGGAGGAAACAAAACCAAAAATCTCAGACAGATACTGTTGCAGATTGTTCTCTCGGGGCAACATTCCAGACTTCTGTAGAACTCCGTTCACAGAAGTAAACTCTTTGTCTTAATGGCTCTCCAGGCCTTGCCAATATCACAGGGGACACTTGAAATCAAACTGCATCCAGATGGCAAGAAACATGTTGATACTCTCATCATAAGACAAGTGAATTAATCATTCATTTACTCATTGATTTACGTATTCAAAACACAGCTATTACTGGTCTAATATGCCTAGCCACAGTACTAGATCTTGGAGCTACAAAGCAAAGTCCTTTCTCTCAGTAATGATCTGAAATTCAAAGATTCTCACACGTATCACTCTAGGGCTTTATAATGCCAGAGCTCTGGTGACTAAATATTAATATACATTAAACAATATTAAATGTTTCTACCTTTCACCATGAATATCTTAACAGCTAAAGATATATCCCCCATAGAAGAGAAAGACTATATACATAAACATGTTCGTGGTGTTATTTATAATTGTAGCAATATAAATGTCCAATAAGTTGAATAATAGTTTAAAAGGTTGGGGTGATGAAATGATGGAATTCTATGCAGACGTTTAAAAGGACATAATTACAAATATCAGCATAATGATAATTGCTCACTCATGTGAGATGATAGAAATAATTCAAAATTATGATGTATCAAAGGCCTTCAAACTTGTGTGTGGTTGTAGCTATAAAATATATATATTTGTTTCTAAATAAGGCTTGGAAGATAATATAAAACACTTTTAGTTATATAAAGATAGTGGAATTTTTTTTTCTATTTTCTAGACTTTCTATGATATTATTACATGCATCAGCAAAGTAAGATGTTGACACCTGCTGTGATTTGAGTGATGGGAGAAAATGTTTCTTATCCTTATAAATATCACTTTCAATCTGTATACAGAGGTTATCAAGTTTTTCTTGTTTCTTTTGTTTTGTTTTTTTGAGACAAAGTCTCACTCTATCACCCTGGCTAAAGTGCAGTGGCACAGTCACATCTCACTGAAGACCCAACCTCCCGGGCTCAAGTGATTCCCCTGCCTTGACCTTTCAAGTACTTGGGACTACAGGCGTGTGTCACCACACCTGGCTAATTTTTTTATTTTTTTGGAAATAGGGTTTCATTATGTTGCCCAGGCTGGTCTCAAACTCCTGAGCTCAAGTGATCCTCTCACCTCGGCCTCCCAAAGTACTGGGATTATAGTACTTACAGTATATTACAGGCATAAGCCACCACGCCTGGCCAGTTTATCAATTTTTAATTCTCTTTCCAATCTGGTCCCTTTCTCATTAATGTTGCTTTGGCTCAGCTTCTCATCTCACCTGATTCCTGTAGTAGCCTACTAACTCACCTCTGTCTTTATTTTCAGACTTCCCAGTTGCTTCTCCCAACCACAAGCTTCTTTTCCTCAAATGTTCACTCCTGCTTTAAACAGCCTTCCCCTAACACACCTGACATGCATATGTATATTATGATGGTACCTCAAACTGTCATAATCCCTGCAGTAGGGATGCATGGACAGCACAGAGGCTCTATGCCACTTTCTTTGGTATGGCTAATTCACAGGTCCTTCCATTTAGAAGGACCTGAGAGGTATACTGGATAAAACTTCAGGTTCTACACAAGAATAGTTAAGACACTCTGAAGAGTCAAAATAAGGTAAGAGGTTTGTCATGCAAGACATAAGACTGATCAGAAGCTAAATAAATACAATAATAATCAGGTTATTTGCTCCTAGTAATAACTGAGTAGCTCCTATCAAACTAACTCTCCACATAAAACCACAAAATTTCTAGGCAAAATATTAAAAAAATTTTTCCTGGAACAACTGGAAAGCAACTAAAAGCAGGCAGAAAATGGAGTGGGAGCCCTAAACCTAGATGAAGAAAATGGAACTGGGTGAGTTATCTATTTTTTAATTATTCTTTATTTGAGGGCAGGCATTAGTTGGTTAAAACTCAAATAGAGGCTGGGCGTGGTGGCTCACGCCCGTAATCCCAGCACGTTGGGAGGCTGAGGCGGGTGGATCACGAGGTCAAGAGATTGAGACCATTCTGGTCAACATGGTGAAACCCCGTCTCTACTAAAAATACAAAAATTAGCTGGGCATGGTGGGATGCACCTGTAGTCCCAGCCACTTGGGAGGCTGAGGCAGGAGAATTGCTTGAACCCAGGAGGCGGAGGCTGCGGTGAGCCGAGATCACACCATTGCAGTCCAGCCTGGGTAACAAGAGCGAAACTCCATCTGAGAAAAAAAAAAAACTCAAATAGATGTCTATAATCTTAGTGGCTTGAAGTATCAAATAACAGAGTTTGGGAACCACCACAGCAGCTAAAAGTGAGGAGAGAAGTCCAGGAAAGGAGATAACCAGAAAGGAGAGTTGCAAATTCTTCATATAAACTCTGCCCAAATCGCTGGCTGACCCCTAAACTATGCATGCGTAGCGCAGACCTTCAACAGCCTGCTAGGGATAAAGGTGTTAAACTAGATTTCACCTTCAAGGTAAACTGAGTTAGAAGTTACAGTCCAGGAAATTTAATTTTCAGCGAATTCAGCACTGTTCAGAAGAATATAACAGAATTCAGAGTCTAAAATTTCACTTACAACGTCTAGGGTAATCCAAAATTATAAAGAAAGAAAGAAAATAATTAGAGTAATGTGAAGAAACAGAATTATGTGATACATATTCCAGAGAAAATCAATCAGTGGAAACTGGCCAGATATTGGAATTAGCAGAAAAGGATTCTATCAAAACTCCCCTCGGAAACATAGGAAAAAAATACGTTCATAATGAATTAAAAAGTAGAAAATCCTCCAGCAGAGAAACAGTTACTGATGTTTTAAATGGAAATTTTAGAACTAAAATACAGTCTGACGTTTTTCAAAAGAAGACATATATGCATCTAACAAGCATATGAAAAAATGTTCAACATCTATATTTTCATGCTGCTGATAAAGACATACCAGAGACCGAGCAATTTACAAAAAAAAAAAAAAAAAAGAGGTTTAATGGACTTACAATTCCACATGGCTGGGGAGGCCTCACAATTATGGCAGAAGGTGAAAGGTACCTCTCACATGGCATCAGACAAGAGAAGAGAGCTTGCACATGGAAACTCATCTTTATAAAACCATCAGATCTCATGAAGCTTATTTGCTATCACAAGAACAGCAAGGGAGAGACCTGCCCCTATGATTCAATTACCTCCCTTCTGTTCCTCCCACAGTATCTGGGAATTCAAAACGAGATTTAGGTAAGGACAGAGCCAAACCATATCAACGTCATTAATCATTAGAAAAATGCAAATCAAACCACAATGAGATACCATCTCACACCAGTCAGAATGGCTATTACTAAAAAGTGTAAAAGAAAAAAAAACCACTCTGATAGCTGACAAGGTTGTGGAGGAAAGGGAGAATTTCTACACTGCTGGCGGTAATGTAGATTACTTCAGCCATTGTGGAAAGCAGTTGGTGATTTCTGAAAGATGTTAAAACAGGATTACCATTCAACACAGCAATCCTATTATTGGGTATATACCACAAGGAATATAAATCAGTTCACCATAAAGACATATGCATGTGTATGTTTATGACAGTACTATACACAATAGCGAAGACATGGAATCAACCTAAATGCCCATCAATGATAGACTGGATAAAGAAAATGTGGTACCTATATACTGTAAAATACTATGCAGCCATAAAAAATAATGAAATCGCATTTTTGGTTTGTTTGTTTGTTTGTTTTTTGAGATAGAGTTTCGCTCTTGTTACCCAGGCTGGATTGCAATGGCGCGATCTCAGCTCACCGCAACCACCGCCTCCTGGGTTCAGGAAATTCTCCTGCCTCAGCCTCCTGAGTAGCTGGGATTACATGCCCAGCTAATTTTTTGTATTTTTAGTAGAGACGGGATTTCACCATGTTGACCAGGATGGTCTGGATCTCTTGACCTCGTGATCCACCCGCCTCGGCCTCCCAAAGTGCTGGAATTACAGGCTTGAGCCACCGCGCCCGGCCTGAGATAGTGTTCTTTGCAACATAGATGGAGCTGGAGGCCATTATCCTAAGTGAACTGAACACAGGAACAGAAAACCAAGTACCGCATATTCTCACTTCTAAGTGGGAGCTAAACATCAAATACATAGGGACACCAGGGAACAACAAACACTGGAGCCTATTTGAGGGCGGAGGGTGGGAGGTGGGGGAGGATCAAAAAACTATCTATCAAGTACTATGCTTATTACCTGAGAGATGAAATAATCTGTACGTCAACCTCCATGGCACAAAATTTATCTATATAACAAACCTGCAGATATACCCCTGAACCTAAAATGAAAGTTAATAAAATAAAAATATGTCTGAACGTTTTAGACAGAAGATTTTCTCAGGAATAGATGGAATGACAAATAAAACAATAGAAAGTCCAGAGCAGATCCATGAATGTGTGGAAACTTGATATAGAGTGAACTGACACTGAAGATCAGTGGGTAAAGAATAGACTGTTTGATGAAGTACATTAGATAAATGGAAACCCATTTTAAAAATGGAATGGGTCACTCCCTCATATCATATACAAAACCAACTCTAGAGAGATTAAAAGCTGAACTGTAAGAGACAAAACTTTAAAAAATTTTAGAGAATAATACAGTGGAAAATTTTTGTGACCTTTGAGCAGGTAAAGAATTCTTAAACAAGAAATAAGAAATACTAAACATAAAATTGTAAATTGATAATTTAAATTTACTTTTAAGTATTAAAGCGAAATGTAATAGAATGTGTACAGAATATGCTATCTTTATTATAATAAAGAAGAGAAAATAAGAGTGTATATACATGTATATACAATATTCATTTATTGTCAAAAAAGAAGTGAAAAAGAGGTAACCAAAAATAGATTAAAATATTTATAAAGAGTAGTTGGGATCAAAGTAGAGACTGAAGAAACAGAGATTAGGACTTCTCTCAGTGTACACACACACACACACACACACACATACACACACATATACAAACACAAACATACGTATATATATACATATACATTAACCAATAAAGCATATAAAATTATAGACATCTTTTTGAAAGTCAAGCAAAATTGATTTATTTGTTTCTTTGACTATATTCTCTGACTATATAACCTTAGTATTATATAGTACAAGAATAAAATGGATTGCAAGGAAAGTTGACTGTATTTACTAGTTTTGTTTTTAACAGGTATATGGTATTGTAGCTCAAAAACTATTTTGTGTGTATTGTAAGATAGAGGAAGTGAACAAATATTGCTTGTGGTTTTGTTTGAGAAGCAGCGTTTTCTCTATGGAAGAAGGCGATGCAAAACTGGAATGGGAGAAGATAAGAAATAATCACGTGGTAATGCATTTGAATTACAAGTATCACTAGGAACCCAGCCTTTTCTTTTATCTTTTTATCTTATTTATTTATTTTTAGAAAAGCAATTTCCTATCACTGTCTCCTGTAAAGAGCTAGAAGCAATGAAGCACCAGTAGCAATGAGCCCACCTAGAGCCCAGATACTGGAATCTAAATCTCATTTCCACCAAAACAAACCAGAACTCCTTGGAGAAATGGCTAAAACCAGTTCCAGGACACAGAATATACAAGCCTGAAACATCACATGGTGCCAGAAAGCAAGTGTGTGCTTAAAGACTAATGGCAACGTGTTGTTATCAGCAAGAGAGCTATTTTCCCAGTGATAAATTATATGGAGAGACAAAAGCAGAACTGTAACATGAGTAGGGAGGGGGCCCAGATGTCTGATCATTCACCCTCGATCTTCTCTTCCATCCCTGTTTAATAGCAGCCCCTATGAGTCATAGTTTGAGAACCACTGGTCTATTAAAAAGAGCCTGGGTTTAAACATCTGGAAACCTGAATTCTAGACCAAATTTGGCCCCAAACTAGCATATAGTCTTAGGTAAATATTTAGTTTCTCTGGGCCTTGTTTACTTATGTGTAAGGGAGGGCTAAAGCTACTAATTTACCTATTTCTCAGTTGTGAGGGTCAAGTAAGAGGATAATTGTAAAAATGCTTTGAAAGGTTAAACAGGATGACTTATACCAGTGCAATTTATCACACCCCATGGGGCCTTTCGACACATTCTTGTACACCATTTGGCGGCTGTCATTCTTAGCAACTGCCAAGCAGCGATGTTGCAATAAGGGATTTTCAATATATATCCCAGGAAGATGGAGGTTCCTTTCTAGCCTTCCTTTCATTACAAATTTACTAATCATGCACTGTGGCAGGCATCTAACAGCACACAGACATAAGATTATAATCCCAAGGAGCTCACTGTCTAATAAATTAGCATAAATAAAATACTTGCAATGTTGTGTAAGTACAATGCTGGGAATATTCATGTTACATTTTCAAGCAGGAGACAATGCAATTAGCAGTACCAGGATTCAGGAGAGAGAAGAGTGGCAAGGAATACTACAATGGAATGAAGGTGCCATTACAGTAAATTCGCGGTCAAAAAATTATTGAGTACTAACTTGGCAGTAAAGATGAGAGATTGAAACATGAACTCACTTTCACTAATTCTTAAAATCCCACTAAAGCAGCAACCTGAATCTACCAATATAGCAAAAGGGTAATGTAATTTTCTTTTATTTGAGATGGAGTCTTGCTCTGTCACCTAGGCTGGAGTGCAGTGGCACGATCTCAGCTCACTGCAACCTCTGCCTTCTGGGTTCAAGTGATTCTCCTGCCTCAGCCTCCCTGAGTAGCTGGAATTACAGGCGCCCACCACCACACCTGGTTAATTTTTGTATTTTTAGTAGAGATAGAGTTTCACCATGTTGGCCAGGCTGGTCTCGAACTCCTGACCTCAAGTGATCCCCCTGCCTGCCTCAGCCTCCCAAACTGCTGGGC